TAGTTGCAGAGTGCCTCGTGACTGACTTAGCACTCTGGAGTACTGCAAAACATTCGTTTGGGTCAAACGCAGTTTGTTTGAGGAATTTGCTGTTGTACGTGATGACATTAGAGATCTGTCTGTGTTGACAGTGACAGTTGTCACCCAAACGAGCGACAAAAACTGCAGTACTCAAAGTTCTATTTGCCGTTCTTGTCTTCCTATCATTGATCAGTCAGAACATAGGAAACAGTTTGGTAATCAGGCTGGCAACCTTTGCATTTCCTAAATCCGTAATCTCCTGCAAGCTGCATAATGATTATAGTGAGAAGCAGTATTCTTATCTGCAGAATTATATGAGTACAATCTGTTCGTCACAAGTCCTCGTCTATGAATTTTGAGCTTGGAAAGGGCGTTTGGGTCATTAATACAGATTTCTGACAGATTCAGCTCGCAGATAATCTGGTTCAAGATCAGCGCTCTAGAGCGATGGATCACATGTCGTTGAGGAGTAATTCAAAAGTGAATGCATCGTACTGCAAGTATGTCATGAGCTACTATGAGTTCATACCGGCCGGCGACACAGAAGTGTTCAAGCCCTTGGCAGCTGATCCGGTTCCGAACAAAGGAATAGGCTACGTCAAGAACAATCTCCTCTACTCCTCAAGGGACAAAACAAAAGTTTACGGGCACGTTGGTGGGTTGTACTTCTACCATACAGAGGACGTGATCGAGGATGTGGTGACAATTACCTTCTCCGAAGGCTTGGTCCGACCGTGGGGAGGCAGCTCGATCAGCCTGCGAGGCTCGTGGTTCATGACTCCAGACGGTCAAGCTGATCTTGACAAACAGGAGCTGGGCATCGTAGGTGGACAGGGCCAATTCAGAGGCGCCACGGGATTTGTCAAGTACGAGAAAGTGCAGAAAGATCCACAAACCGTGTTCCATGTCACTTGCCACATCTATGTTCCTGACTTCGTCGGCCGCGATCACGAAGTTGAGATCAACCTCAACGAGCTGCTCGAAGCTGATGCCAAACCAAACGGCTTTCACGGCCATGGTCACGATCAGGGTTACGGTCATGGTCATAATCATGGTCACGGTCATGATCGAAGAGAGTAGGGCGACTGCCTGAAGGTCTCATGGCTGCTAGAACTGAATCGGACTTGTCTGCCGTTTCGCGACCATACTCTCGAGCTGGTGTTGCAGATACGACAAGCATGGAGTTGTTTTCCCGGACGAAGTTTGTGAGCTTTGTCAGTCGGTATAGAATCCTTCTCAGTAGGATTATATTCTGTTTAGTCGGGCAAGCATATTTAGTTCCGGAAGTTAGTATAGAAACTCATACAAGGCTTGCATTTCCTATTACGGTAGGCTCATTTGATGTCTTCTGCTTCTCCGTATTTTTGGCTCGATGCAACAACGCGAGGATCAGAGGTTTAGGGTTTACTTTTTGGCTAGATTTGACAATGTAAGTCTTTTAGTGATATTCGATTTATTTTTTAATAACGTACACCGTTATCATGATCCTTGTGACACAAATTCCACTTTAAAAATTGTCTACCAAGTCTCATAGTGATTGTAAGCTATGATAACCTATAACATATTTTTGTACATTACTCAATCAAAATATATTAATCGTAGTTTCTTAATATTACAGCTACAATTATTTTTTACTATGTATCAAAGAATTAAAATTAATTGGAATTTTTTTTTATTTCATTGCATCAATGAGCATGTTAAAATCAACTTAATCAACTCTTATGTTGATAATTGTTAATTTTTTTTTTCACAATTTTAAACCAATTATCAAACATGATAAAGTCAAACTCTCATATTCTCCTACCTCAATTAGTTATTAATACTGTGAGTGGGAGACTTTTGCTACATCTCATCTCTTCAATATTCATTGGATGATAAAAATGTAGTAAGATCAAGTTATATAGGAATTTTACTTATTCAAAAAAAATAAAACGTAGTTTTTTGTTGCAAGTTTTCTTATAACCTATTAATGTTTGCACGTCGGCCTACATCGCATAGAGTGTATAGTATTCACCAATCCGTGGATATCACGATAGTAAATATCCTAAATGGTATGTTACTGAGTAAATGTTCTTACATAGCTGGTACAGAATATTCAAAAGTTATTGTATTTCATATGATGACCTAAAGATACAAATTCTAGTTTATCATTCTTTGGTACTATTTATGTACCAAAAAAACACACAAACCAAAATGTGTACTAATTATGTATACATTTTTGTTTCATCTTTTGTGAGAACATAGCTCCTTTTGACTTCTAACATGATCAATAGTATCACAAGAATTTATTATCTGAAGAAGGTTTAAGTTCATTCTCAAAAGTAATCAAAACAAAAAGCAAAAAAATTATGTACATCAAAATTTTCGAAAAAATGTTAACAGTTTTTTGGAATTCATTTTATGATAGTAATCAAAATCTTCAATTTTGAATGCATTTTGATTCAGTGCAAAAAAACCATTATACATAGAATTCGTGGAATTTTCATAACATTTTCTTCAAGTTTGAAGATTTAGGCTAGTTGAGTCATGGTTTGATATTCTTGCGTAATGATCGGAAGCCTGCCGGCATTTTGTAAGTCTTACGAAGGAGTGGGTGTTAGAAGGATTTGGACGTCCCATTGGATATTGGGAGACCTGGTGGACAGATCGCCACTGCAGTTGCCTTTCCTGCATAAGTTGCAGATTTGAAAAGTGTAGTGAGTATGAGTAAGAGACATCAACGTGAAAATATCGCATAAGTTACACCAGATTGGACCATACAAAACAGAGTTTGTGATCCTGTGGATCTAGAATAGGGAGAAAGTGAGAAAGAATAAACGAAGAACGATTCTGGTTGTGGAAAAGCATGTTGTTTTTTTCCTAGGGTGATAATCACTTTCATAGCAGCATGCTTAGTCATCACAGCTCTCGAACAGCAGCAGTCAATCTTGAAGAGATTGAATCACTTGGGTTTTGTTAATGTCCCGGGTGGTGAATACATCACATTCCATCTTGTTTCTTGCTTTGAAAAGCAACACTGCCGCCATGACTCTTGTAAACCATAGGAAAGGTTGCTTCGAAGTGCAACACCGTGGTCAATGTGATCAGCAGACACAGAAAAACTTTCGTGCGGAAACTCTCACTTGTAATTAGAGCTCAAAGAAGAGACTTGTACTTAGAGAGACGTATAGGCTATCTGATGAATATCATATTGACTGAATGCCTGTACCACCAAATTTAGGGTTCTTTAGTACATGTTCAACGATGCATGTGATTGTGTTCTGACTGGGCTGCGGTAAGGACGGATCTCCAAGAAATGCATACAGCGAGTCATGTGAAGGCCAAAAGTCAACATCTAAACCTACAGAGCATCGGACCATCTTGTGGTGGAAACTATTTCGGAAAGCTCCACGCGAGTTCAGAAGAGCCAGAAGGTGACTGAAATATTTGAAAAGGAAACATTGGATAAATTTGATCAGCGGGTTATGTAAACAATCTTACAGCACTTTGGACTTATCCACTTTGAGCACCTGAGTGAAATACGCATCAGCTTGAGTGATCCTGGTGAAAGGAGCGTCAGAATTATGTTGTGAATGAACTTATGTGGTAGGCACCAAGCAAAGTTAGTCCGTACCTCTGCGCGTCTTCGAAAGTCATGTGAGCGACCCTGCTCTGCGCCCCAACCACTACAAGGACTCCTCTACCCTGTAAAATGCCCTCTTCTGTTTTGCCATAGACCGTTTCATAAAGTGACCATATTCGATCACCAGCAAGTGAAAGTCGAGGCTTACACAACGGTGGCTGCGATGGTATGTGGATGCAGATGGTGAAGGCTTGCTGGTAAGGTACGAGGCGGGATTCAAGGTTCCAGGAAAGATCCTGGAACCTTGAGGTCCGCCTCGTACCTTACTATCGGAATCTGGATTGTCGGAATAAGAGTCATCTGAGAGACCTGGGTTTCCTATCTTTCTACATTGCGGGTACTCCTCTGACGTAAACTCTCTGTAACAGGAGATCGTTTGTGGAGTTTGAGTAATCCATGAGTTAAAATTTTCTCTTGTCCGGAGTAATAGATGTATCGTTAACGAGATCTTTGGACATGCTATGCATATTGCTTTCAGTAGTATACAGCTGAGTATTACAGCAACAAAGATATGTGGACATGTTTCGGAAACAGAGGAGCTCTGACCGCAGAAGTGAAGGCTTTTGTAGAAATGTGTGGACACTAGACTCGAAGCTTTGCCCAACCATTTTCAAACCTACTGAATGTATGTGTACTCCTATCGCACGGAGATGCCTTGGACCAGAACTTGAACCTAGTCCATAAAGATCAAGAAGGGGGTCTAAAAAATAGTAGTAGAATCATACAAGAATCTCATTTTAATTGCATAATAATGAACCAGACAAGTTTACAGGCTTGCAGGTGTGATCGCCGAATTCACCGCCGAATTCACCGCCGAATTCTTTTTGAATAACATTCGATCAAAATTCAAACAGTTCAATGACACATGGTGGTGTAATTCACAATACTAGAGTACTACATGCATCTCATCGGGCTATTGAACCAAGCTCTCTGTACGTATTTTCAGATTAAATTGGGAAAAAGTTACATGAAGAACTCTTGATGAAGGCACCTTGATCCATGCAGGTCCAAGGCACAATGAGGTCTAGATCTTGGAGATAGAATCATTGTGGAGTTCTATTATCGACCCAGCTGACTCTACAGTCAGCTGATTCTTGGACCCATTTGATCTGTAATAGAAAACTACCAAAAATCTGCAGTTTAATCAATTGCTGGGTGCTGGAGTGATAGTGATTAGTTCGTGCTGGTAGAAATGTATGCGTAGTGGCTGCAGTGAAAGTGGTGATAATGCGAATGCAGGTCATTCGGCCTGCCCGGAGAACAGTCAGTGGCTACGATCTCATCCAGTATGTTGAAACCAGCAGTAATCAGCTGCAGGGAAAACTGGTCAACAACAAGAAAGCCTTGCGCTCAGACAAATGCAACAGCAAAATCACAAGATATTTCAATGCAATTACCAAACAGTATCCTTCAGAAGGGAAGACACAGACTTCATGACAACATATGGTGCAAGAAGGAGAACGTGACGGTCAATCGACGTCCTTCTCCGAGCCTTAAAGGAGATCCAGAAAGAAGGTCGCTGCTTGCCCGTTAGTTCAGAGGAGGAAATTTTGCAACGGGTTCGTAGTCATCGATAGAATCGAAGATGGTTATGGAAGAGGAAGATGAGGAGAGCCACGAGGTCTTTCGATTTTACTCAGCTCATGCTGATGTAGGGAAGAGCGGAATTTGGGATCCTCAGAAACACAAGTATTACTACTGTGACATTACTCAGGGGACATTCCATGTGCTCGATCTAATTGACATGTCTAGAGAGGATCACACAGTAGGGCTTCAGATCGGCGCGATGGCACTTATCGAAGGAGGCTCGGGGCTTGTGATGGCTGTGAGGGACGGATTTGGAATATGGGATTTTGATAAGAAGACGTTCCAGTTGACTGCAACTCCTTTCGGAATCAACAGTGGTTGGAGAATGAACGATGGGAACGTCGACTCTAGAGGCAGATTTTGGGCTGGTCGTCTCTTCGACACAGATGAAACGCAGCCTGGGATGATTTATCGACTGGAGCTGGATGGCAAGACAGCCACTCCCATCATCGATGGCATCTGCTGTACCAACGGACTTCTGTGGAGTCCGGACAATAAACGCATGTGCGTTGCTGCTTGACCTTCTGCACTTATCTCTGTCGAGTTTCACGTCCTTTAGGAATGTTATCGAGCCGATTCATACTCTGCTCCTGTCCCCTGCTTTTCAGCCCTATAGAGATCAAGACCGAGCTTTTCAGTTCCTTCTGTTGAGTGGATGTGCAAATAGGGAGAATTGGTCCGCAAAATCCGGCCTTCCTATTGATGAGATAGCAGTTTGTCAATCGTCTTTAATGTTTACAGCCAGCGGATTCTTATCGATAGCCTTGCTTCTCAAGAACTGCGTAACCACCACCTGCGTCACCAGGATTTGTTGAAACTCAGGCTAAAAACTCTCCGATAGACATCTGGTCAAGCATCAGGTTGAGCTCTCAAGCTAGGAAATCACAAATCCCTAGCAATAGCGAACATTTATACGACTGCTAGCTTTCTCATCATGCCCTTTCCAATAGACAAGCCACTTTCAGATCACGACAATTGTTTACATTCAGTATGGGGTAGGAGAAGAGGATCTTACATCATCCAATCTTACCCTAACCAGATATGGACTAATCGATATTTTCTGCTATGTTGAATTCTTCTTTTAGTGAGCCTAGACACAGTTTGATTCCTTGAGAATGCGAGAAGATCGACGTTGTGATTATTCGCACAGAGATCGTAGTGAGGGCTATGAATCCTGAAGGATTTCGGATTCGATAGAGAGAATGAGCTTCAAATCGAACACCGAATTTGTATTCGGGTGAACAAGGTCCGAGATCGTAAGACCAGTAATACTCGAGAACCCAACTCACTCGTTGTCTGATGCTTGCTAACTTCCTCGCATCGTACAGGTACTGTGGAGATAGCACTCACAAAAAGATTTACGTATGGGATTATGAAGAGGAATCAGGCACCCCGAGTAACCAAAGACTGTTCTTCGACACTGCTGGCTACTTTAGCGGGGTCCCCGACGGGGCGAACATCGATAGCCAGGGGTACCTGTGGGTGTGTTTCTTCGACGGAAGCAAGCTGGTCAGAATTTCACCCGAAGCGAAGGTGGACAGAATCTACAATATGCCCGTGAAGCGTCCCACGCAGCCCATCTGGTTTGGAGAAAAGCTGGACCAGCTGCTCATTACCAGTGCCAGCAAAGGCGTCAACACCCGCATATGGCCCGAGAGTGGAAATGTTCTCAAGCTGCATGCTGGAGTTCGTGGACAGTTGAAGAACAAGTTCAAGCTTTTGTCGTCACCGCCTAATCCAGGACACCAATTTGCGATCGATCTCCACATCAAGGGGACTATTGCGGCACTCAGAAGCTTCTTATAGATTGATTATCGATTCAAAAGTAGCTCATGTCGCCGTAGGAGCCCCAGAGTGAATGTATACGGGAGCTACTTCTGACAAGGAAGCATGTGCTGAATGAACTTTGAGCCTCGGAAAGCGGGACGTTGGTAACTCTCATCAGTACTAGTGCATAATCGTTGACAGAATCCTCTGAGTGCTTCCTTTCTGACTGAGGAGATGGCTATTCAGCAATCGCACACGAAATTATGGAGCTGGAGCCATCCATGGGCAGGTTATTGAGAGACGAAGGTGACGCATACTAGCAGCTGGGATCTAATGATCATCTCTGTTTGCTCTTGAAGACATTTGAATACAGGTGATCAGTAGTTTCTTTCTAGAGTAGAATTTGGCCCGCTTTGCACTGAGGCGCATTTACAAAATTCCCCATCGTGCATCCTGGATGTAAGAAACTCAGTCAAGTATTAAGCTCTACTAATGTTTATACACACCTAAACAAATGTATGCATCGCCTATTTCTGTCAAACTGATGTAATGTCTATGAGTAATTGCTGGCTCAATTATGCAGGTTCAAATTCTACTATCGCTAGCGCTATTTATTCCTACTCAGCAGAAGAATCAAGCGTAATGATTTTCTGCAATGAAATGGCTTGCCGAATAATAATACTCTGTATCTGTTTTGAGTGACCCGCACGCGAAACAACATCCCTAACTCCGACAATTCTGACATCCTCCTAATACGCCATCAATCCACATCAACCTCAAAGTGCTGTCCGTGGTGGTGGCATTTCCGCGGACTCCGTGAATTTGGATAGGTTAAGCGTAGATTCCTGCTATGGCTGCTTACAGGAATGCGTAACGACAGCAGTTGAGGTGCACTACCAACAATCGTGGCAAGTTCACGTCTCGATTTGATTTCAGAATAATATTTGTGAAATGGCAAAATGCTTCACCCAAATGTTTTAAATTCTGGGAAAAGGGGCATTTTGTTTATAAAGTGGAAAAGAGTTGGCATTCTGTTCATTTTCGAGAAGAAGAGGCTTCTCGCTCAAACTTCTCTAGAAGAAAACCCTGGGAACAAACTCAGTAAATTCAGCCGGCAGTGTAGTCACTGACACAATCAACAATAGACTCGTTTCACGTGGAGATGTAATTGGTCAAGGTATCTCAGTTTGTTAAATTAGAAAGCTCATGCATCTCTGACTTGTCTGCTATCGATATCCACCCTGTAATACTGCAAGGGCATTGGGCAAGGGTATTGAGTGATCTATCGGACCTGTAAACAAGTCTTTGATGGTAGAGTCTCCACACTGAAGTAACCTTTGTAGCGCCTGCCGTTTACATAGGATTAGATGATACATGATACGGACTGTACAGCAGTTGATATGGCTCCGATGCCATGCTTACATGTTCCAAATTCTCACTTCTTCCAGAATTTCATTCTTCTCGATCCACTTGAAAAAAGCTAGAACAGGACCAGTTGGATAAATGAATGATGGAGCCCTTCAGCAGCAAACAAAGGAGATGGTCAAACAGGCTTGACAGGTGTTACCAAATCTATATAAAGTCGCAATTTTGACAAGAAACAGCCCTGATGTTGACTCAAGAGGCTTCGTGTGTCTCTAGTTATACCCTTTCAGAAGCATGAACTTAAGCAATATTAGAAGGAATTAGAATTTACAGAGTCAGATTGCGGCCGAGTTCTCACTCATTTGTGAAATTATCGATCATTAGTTGGATGCCCTTTGAAGTTCGCCAGAGAAGATAATGACTCCCGAGTTCAAGCCGATGTTGTTAAGGTGTTTAGATTGTGAAATACATAGACGTAGAATATGTAGTTCGAAGGTATGGCTGCAGCTGATTTATTACCTTCTACGTTTCTAAACAAGGCCATTACTGCTTGATGTGAATTCCATAAAGAAGTCAATTTAGCCATTTTTCTCCTGATAGTTCACCTGTCCTCATTTCATATGTATTTATCGTATCAGAATCTCTACTGCTGCCTTCTTCTCAGCCATATGTGGACAAAGAGTAAGGTCTGGAAATTACAAGCTATTGTTGATATTTCTATCAATGTGGACCTCTGACTATCACATCATATATGCGTACAAGCACTGTCTAGCCAGTCTACGGAGTCCCTATGAGCTTCTAAGGCTCAGAGGAAAGCATTGGTGAATTGCGACCAGAAAGTTTCCAGAGGAGAGATTGAGGTTTCGTTGACTGCGAAAGACCTGGCCAGCAAGGCCGGATCCACAGCTGGCTGTGCTCCAAACAGAGTGAGAGGGAGAAATGAGATTCCTGGATTTTGAGAATTCAAGAAGTTGATGGTGGAAGCATTGACAGTTCCTTTGTTCATCTGGAAGTGCACCAAGCCTCTGGGGATAACGAACGCCTCGCCGGTCTTGAGCATCCCAGCGAACAGCTTGTTGGGAGCATTCGCATCGTCACTGTTGGCCACGAATCCGATGTATATCTCTCCGGATGTAACGAACACAACCTCAGTGGCCAGGTTGTGAGTGTGAGGCGCAATGACACCACCTGGCATGAGATCAAGGCGAGCCATAGCAACTCCAAGCGTGTTCAAAGCTGGCCAATGACGGGCGAAGGCTAGTCTTGCCGAAGCACCCCAGGGATTTTCAGAAGTGATGATGCTGGCATCCTTCAGGCCTTTGTACATGAAATCTTCTGTCTTCGCTGTTGCCGGATCCTTGCAGAGGTACCCATTCGTAAACTTTTTCTGACTAAGGTCTGCAACACAGAAATCTTGGAGTTGATCTGAATCAGCTGCTTGGACAGCACTTCCCGCCAGTATGAACATCGTCAACAAAACCAATTGCCAACACGCAGGGCCCATGATGCGCACAAATCCCATCACTTAGTACAATGGATCTTGAAGATTTGAACTCGAAAACTGCCCCAACCTCCAAGCTAGGAAAAAAATCAGCACAAACTTCAAGCTGCAGGCAAGCTCGGGATAAGAAATGCACGGAAACTGGAAGTCACACTGACACTCAGATTTTTTTCTGGAAATTGGACTGACTGTTATAGATGAACGATAACGGCAATCCTACAGATAGACTGGAGCTCTGATTATGAACTGAAAGGCTTGGGAATTTATACACCTTGTTTCTAAGTTTGTGTAGAAGTGAAGGTAGCGGTGGTGAAGAATTCAGCGCACTTACCGTAACAGGGACCGGATCCCATTCCAGAGATCAAGCCTGAAGCTAAGGGCTTTTTCAGACAGATACACCCATTCTCAAAGGAACGGATCCCATTTTATAGATCACGCTTGAAGCTAAGGGCTTATTCAGACACATACACCCATTTCCAGGTAAACCTTGTGCAGAGCGATGTCACGAAATTCCAGTTCTACCCGCATGTACTGCTGGAAGAAGGAACGAGGCAGTTGGATTGCACTGGAATCAGATAGCATATACCATGAACCTCAAGCGCTCTAGTGAGCGTCAGTGAAGATATCCCTGGCGATATCCATAGTCGTGTAGAATTTATCTTCATATGAACTCTGGTGCACACATGAAGGTCCCAAATAGAGTGATGTGCATGGGTGTATATATATATATTTAGATATAGATCCCCGGGATTATAGACCTGAAAGACAAATTCCCAGCGTATGAAGGGTTCCTACTGAGACAGTCTTTTTGCATGATCGAACAAATCAAGTCAACTGGCTGCTAGAGTTGACTTTTTAGTCAATACCTTTGACCCATAGCTACAAAAAGAAAGCTGTGATGGATATAATTGGACCTTTCTGTTGCACATTATCAACGCATTATCACAAGCACTTAGAGACTTCACTTGACCTTCATGGTATAGTTATGAGCATGAGGACATGTCGAGACAACAATAAATAAATAAATAAATATATATATATATTTGCAGATTTGTGCTCTGCGTATCATGATGTACATAAAGTCATTTAAACGATGTATATAAATATCTTCCGTAAACATATCATTGATTATGTCTTTTGTCAAGATGAATGTGTGTTGTCAATTACTGTAAAGTCACTTATCTTATTCGCGAAACTAAATAAATCCGCAAGGACAACATTGTGCATGGTTTAAGAGCTTCAAGATTTTTACCGAAATTTAGAACATGGATTTAACAGCGGCCGGAGGTCTATGACCTTAAACTTCATGTATCTCTTTTCAAATCCGAACATAATTGTGAATTTCTAATGGAAGGAAAGCTTTACTTTCCACGTGAGACTTGGAAGCTTTTTGCTAAGTCAATTGTCTCCTCAAGATTGAGTACATCACTTATAAAAGTTTAAGATGAATAGCTGAAGAAAAAATTGTTCAATATGGTACATGGTAAATAGATCAAGCTTGTTTGACCCAAAGGTTAGAAAGGTTGAAAAACACAATACAAACAATCCAACTTCAACATAGGAGAGAACCAAAAGAACCCCCTGGCTAATGCCAAGAGCACTTTATAAATTAGTCTTAATTCCTTTTTATTTATTCTTTAAGCATTAATGAAATTGGAAGACTTGAAAAGAAATAACAATGTCACACACTACACATTTATGAGGGAAATTTTAATCTAGCTAGCTCAAAATCTATCATGTACATTGTCTTCTTATATTAAAATACAACAAAATTAATATCTTATCATGACAAACTAGTTATCATGAATACGTAAGTATACAAACATCCATGTCATTTGCAACATTCAACATAAACTTTCAGTCTAATAATATAGATCTCATATTGGCATTAGCTATAAATTCGTAGTTCAACGCACATAATACAATGTCCATATATTCTCATTTTCTAATAAAGTTAGCACATAATGATCCTGTTTTACCTTGTTTTATAATACATTCATCAGATTATTCTTGTTTTCTTGATAAACATATTACAATGCATTGAATAACCAAACCTAGATGTATGTGTAAAATGCATTTGACTTCACTGCACATAAGAATCAACAATTTAATTTTGCTACAATGGACTCTGTAGTAGAGTTATTCCCATATATGTTTTGCGTAAACAGCATGTTGCATTTCTGTAATTTGGTCTTTCAAGATTCATATGTTTGTATCTCAACTCATATAAACGAAGGTCATCTAAAAGTATGTAATTCTTCTTTAATTTTTCGATGTTAATTTTATGATAATTATCATATCCTTAGAAATAAGATGTTAAAATTCTCTCTTCGAAGAAAACTTTGATATGTTTTGGTATAGAATATAAAACCTAATTTGGCCTAGAATATATATAAAGTCTTGTTACATTCATATATTTTACACATGACAATTATTTTTGAAACATTATTACTCATCATGTCCATGAGAATAGAGAAGGGCTTTAACAACTAAGGTATCCAGATTTAAGATTCGTAAAGAAATCATATTTTGATGCTTTGATTAGATATGAGTAAAATCCTAACAAGTTTCGAAGCCCACTTGCCACTTCATGTATTTGACACTCCTTCAAGATGAGCAAAAAAATTGTCAAGCTAAACAACAAAAATATCAATCTTTTTAGTTTATTTAGAATCTCATTTTAAGCAACTAGTTTACATTGTTCTCATTATATTTCTGTATTTTCTAAAATAACCCTGATTTTAGTATTTAGAATAACGATTTTTCAATGTTCTCCTAAGAATATTTTTTCTTAGTTAAAACTGATTTTAATACATATATGTATATCTTTAAATGTCTAAGCATTCGATGTACATTCATCTTCATTAAAATATTTATTTATTTATTTATTTATTTCATACAACTTATCATACTTACACGCTTGTACTTTAAAATTCATAAAAAGAAAATAAGATTTTAGAACAAATCAATATGGAAATATGGAGACCATTATGTTTTCGAATAATATTCAAAATATAAATTGATACTGTATCCCAATTTCATATTTATAATATCGTATCTACACTCAGAATTATAACGTAAATTATTGAAAAGGCAATGTAACCCTGGTTCCACAAACAATGCTGTCTATTGGGACTGTTTATTCACGCTTTTATATACTTCTCTTGCCCCATCTTACAAAATTTCCACAGCAGACACTTTGATCAGCGACGTTACATGTACAGCAGTCGCTTGAGGACGCAATTCACGAGCTAATGATTGTGAATTAGCAAGTACAGCAAATCTTCCACACTCAAGTTCTGAAAGACCTGCGCTTCCCGTTGCTGATTGAGTGAAAAAGGTACTGAAAAGAATTGGTATTTTTTTCCTATCCAACATTGCTATCAGAACCTGCTGTACACGTTGAATGATCCCCCACAGGTAACATGTTGGTTGCGCTCAAACGGTCGGCACAGACGTCCAAACGGAGAATTCGTGTTGTAAACCAGAACCTCGACTGCAAGGGTTTAATAAAATACAGCTTAAAATACGCGGCTTCACTTGACATGGCTCTCGGTCGACCCTTTCTCAAGCACACGAGTTCGTCAAACTCTCAGCAAAGGGTTGATGCTGGGGGTTACTCCAGCGGCAATTTCCTTGCGACGACCAAGCGAAATCCTCCTTCCGGATCGGACAGGGCATCTTCAAACTACTTCCAGGTTCCAACTCGCCACTACGCAGGCACACAGTGCGCAGATATCACTGCGTAATTCACACAAACTCCAATTTCTTGTAGGCGTGCCTTCCCTGCCTCCACTGCTACAGGTCTCACTACTATCACGCGTCGCTGTCCCCTTACGGTGCCCGTGCCTTGTGACTGACGCTACCCTTTCTCAGATTCTACACCTGCCCCTTCTGTATTATGTCTCCTATTGGTTCTGTTATTCTCATCTCTCGTTGTGTTATTGCTCCTTCCTTTATTCATGAGTAATACATTACCGTCTCTCATTTTTTCCTTATATACTTTGCACTCTGAAAAAAAGGAACGATTAAATAGATTCAAAACAAGACAGAAATGTTAAAAGAATTTCTATTATTTATTTTTTTAAATTTATATTAGATTTTTGAACTTAAACATAAACCAAAGATTGATGTTTCTTTAATTTTATCAATTTCAATTTATAACTCAATATGATCATTGCAATTAATGGATAATTTCTATGATAAATATCATATAAAAAAAATTTAAATTTTCTTTTAAAACTTTACATAGATGTTTTTAACAAAAACCTTTTTTTCCTACACTTTATTTACAATTTCTTATATTCTTTTGTTTAAAATAGTACATAAGTGAAGTTTGTAGAAATGAGAAAAGATATGAACAGTGAATAATATTCAACCTTTCATAGTTTAAAAATCATTACAATCAGTAAATATATTTTAAAATTTTACATCATTATTATCATGAATTTACACATGTTTTGATTACTTCTGAAGTGATTGAGTAAAATTGATCAAATAAGGTGATTATTTTTATTCATATTCTAATTTTTATACGATAATATTAGCTTTACAAAATATGTTATGAATCGATTTAATTTTTTGTGTCAATTATGATCAAAATAATTTCACTGATTCACAGCGGGTCTTGGTTTTCTTTGAATTAAAAAAAATATGGAAAATGAATTGAAAGCCTCATACACATGGCACATAAGATGGTCATCTAGATGAGTATGTAACACATGGTGAAACACTGCAAAATAAGTGTGGAAAGTTGACTGCACAAAATGAGTTTTCACCAAACAGTAAATACTGAATTATGGAATAAAAAGCAAGAACAAATGGATTACAAAGCGCGACTTTCTACCTAATCCACTTGTAGAGTACAAAGTAAGAGCTACTTTTTTTTCACATATAAAGAAAATCCGATTTAATTATAATTTTTTTAAAATCTAAATATATCAAAATTAATAATACACCTTGGATGTTTAAACTGAATGATATTTGATATATTATTTTGCAAACATATAGAAATAAGTGCAAATAGCTTCACTTCATTAGCTATAGAAAAGTTTATAAAAAAATATCTATATATCAAATATGTTAAAATATTTGCACATAGTTTCATATAATACAAACGGCAGGCTAATAAAGAAACGAAAGCTTTTGCAAATTATAACTTCTGGAAACCTTGTAATCACTATAACCATCGCCTGTGCACCATAAAAATGAATTCTCTTGAACTTTATATAAATATGCATACTCTAACAGTAGTACTATCCAGATTAGACATACCCAAAAAAAATTAAATGGTAAATATAATTTTTAGGTTATCCTTTGTTGGTGAACACATGTTACATCTAATATCACACTCACCACAAATATGTTCATTGACCACTGATAATCATACTTTGCGGCTGGAATATTTGCGTATGTATGTATGAGTACTAATACATACATCGGTTGCTGCGATTTTCCTTGTGAAGTACACTCTCATTCATATTTTCTATAATTTGATATAAAATCTGCTCACTATTCATGTGGCAACTAATTCGAATGTCTCTTGGAGACAAATCTTAGGTTAGACTTTGAAGGAGTTCGCTCCTGTTTAGAACATGTGGCGCAGGTTATTCATATGTTATATCTCACTGCGACACATGACTTCTGCAGTCTGTACCACTCGTCTCCTGTCTCCTGAAACAAATGCTAAGTTTCTGACACACTCAAGACACGAACTCTTATCGATAGCCGAGGCTAATTCCTCTAGCACGGCGATACTGAATGTTATACGCCATTGTTTTAGAGACAACAGAAGAGGTAGCAGCTTCATCTCATGTGCAAATCGATGTTAGCCCACCACGTATACGAAATTGGAGGCTGCGTCGAGTTGTTGACAGTCAGAAATGTCAGGGGACAACATTCAGGTGACATCCCGTATCATTTGTGCCTCATGGCGTACATGTACTTCTAAGATAGATGTCATTAAAGCTTCTACTTACGATTTGCAGCTGCTTGTAACTCTTGGTGATTAGTAATCACTGATTACCCATTCGCCCACCTTGCTAGTAGTTAATTTCACTGTGTGATAGTGCCATCTTGCCAGTGGTTTATACATCATTTCCTTCAACAAGTGATTTCCAGTCAGAAATGGAAACGAAGAGATAAAGACTTGAATCATAGTGGCTCCGGTCTTGGCCAGGAGAATGTGTATTTTTTCTTATATTATTCAACAGTTCGAATTGAACTCGAAATGAAGTAGAATCACTAGACTCGATTCTGTAAGTATACTCCGGTTCCATGAAGAAATTGCATGTGTCCTAGTTTGCTCGGATCTTGTCTTGAGAGGCCCACAACTTTCAGGAAATGTCTAACAAAAGCACTGTTCCAACTTTGGTCCTGGTTTGCCCTTGTTTCCTTATATCACTGGAGACATTAGAGAGCAGAGCTGAGCTAAATTTGGAATCAATCTTCTTTCCACTTATGTGGATGAAAGAGATAGCAAGAGTCCAGATCAAAATCGCAACAGTGCAATCCGCTTGGCCAAAACCCACCTATCCTGTAGATTACGTGTGGAGGATATTGTACATGACTACTGCAACCCAAAAACTGAAGGTCAGCAGCCATCGCCGCTGAAAACTGTCGTCAGACGATCTCCTTCCTGGAGAAACACAGGCATCCGAACGAAACTTCAGGTCGGTCTCAATTTAGTATCATGTGGATGACACTCGCAAAGTCAGATCATTATTCAGAACAAACAGCGGCAATGCTTCTGAAACAATATGAAGGTCATGCGTTCATGGAGTACATCCATGATCGTCTGAAGGGTTACAGAGGGCCTGATCAGGTTCATTTTCAGATTACAGATAAGTGACCAGCAGAGTAGACTCGGGTCTCGTGCTGAAACGGGAATTGCTGCTTGTTTTAAGTTTTAAGTGCGCAGCTACAAAACGACGGATGTGGAAATCGGCCTGGAGCTGGAAACTGGCAAAGTATAGGAGATCTTAAAGCGTGCGACAACTGCTCGAGACGAGAAAATGGAATACATTAGCCTGGACAGAGCAGAGAAGGCTCGGGACGGAGGCCTGTGCGATGATTTCGGAGTTGAGTGATAATTGAGCGTGAGTGATCAGAGTTCCTGGTTACCTTGAGACAAAGGTGGTGGAGGGGGAGTCGGAGCAGGAAGGGATCCATCGTATGGTCCAGGAATCAGAGCAAGAACGCCTTTCTCTTCCGCGAAATTTAGACTTCTAGAGGCGTCAGCGTCATACAGCATCACCCCCAGAAGGCCATCTTCCTCCTGCAACAAATTTACAGCATTTCGAAACTGCGTTCCCGTAATGCTGCGCGTGCCGTTGATCTGTGTGCTGGCGAGGAGCTTGGCCGGATCAAAAAAGAGCGTGGTCGCTCGGAAGGTTTGAACGTAGTCGGCTGTGGTGGGCAAGTCGTAGGCGTAGAACTGGAAGCTGATGTAGTCGATGAGATCGCCGAAATTGGCCATGAGGTCTTGGTACTGCGGCATAACGGATCCGAAAGGAGCGATGGTCGCAATGCCGATGGTATTGTTGTCTTTGAGCTTCTGAATCAACGTACCGATGCAGAAAGTGAAGGCGGAATTCGAAACAGAGTAGTCCGCCGGGAAGTGCTCGAAGTCGATGTCGATCCCGTCGATATTGTAGAGCTCGGCGAGACCTGTCAGCGACGCCTGAGCATTGTCTATCCAAGCTTCGGGATCAGGAGGGTCCAACCAGTCCACGTCCACGGTCAGACTGTCGTTCACCCACAAAGAGTCTCCTCCCAAACTCATCAGCAGCCGGACTCCAGGATTCTTCTTCTTAAAAGCTTTGGCGGATGCAGGTGTCAGATCATCGTTCCAGAATTTGGAAAACGTGCCGTTCTTATAGTTCCCGTCACGGTCGTAATCGATCACGAAACCTAAGGCTACATGGAACACGGCCTTGGACGCGTTCACGACCGCTTGCATGTCGTCGAACGAGATGGACTTGCCGGACGCCCCCATGTACTCGATGAAAACGCTGCCAGGCCCCCTGGCTACGCAAACCTCTCGGGAGCTCGACCAGACGCTACTCTGATTTTCCGAGTCTGGGCAGATTAGACCCGGATTGATGGATAGTAGCTCCGGGGGTGTCAATTCGGCTATGGCTGCAATTTCTTCGCAGCCTCCGGCACTGTTGTTGCCGCGGAACACTCTGATTTTTTTCTTGCAGTTGGGCGGAATTCCTTGCACGCACAGAGACTGCCCGGCATTTAATTTTTTGCAGTTGAGGTCCGGATTCAACAACAGCAGCTGAGCCTGAGTGACATTGCTGCTCAGGCGAATGGAAGTACAAGAGTCCCCTGCGCTTACGGAGTGCGCGTGCAGACAATTACTGCCCTTGCTGGTATACGAAGTGAATGAGCCTGAGGTAATCACACACTCGCGCGTCAATTTTGCTCAGTCATAAGACAATATCTGCGAGAAAAATTAAAAGCTTCCAGGAGGGCCGAGGCATGCATGCACAATTACTACTCAGCGACTGAGACGAGCTGCTGCATTCGAAACTACAGCGCCAGCTCCGCCAAAATTGTAGGCTCTTGCATCTATGAAGCAAAATCCTCTAGCAGTTATCGAATTCATCTCAGTCCAGGTTAATCAGTCGGTGGAATCATCACAGGAGACGATCGACCATTTGAACTGACAGAATGATGATCGATTAGTATGTGCCAACTGAGTGCAATAATTATGCCGAAGACCGAGAGAGCACTCACCTTCGTCGGAACTGGACAAGCCATGGCAGAAGCTGGGGTACACAGCGAACAGAAATAGAAGACTGAGGTTTCCTAGCCTCACAGATCCCGGATTCCTACTCTTCGACACAAGGGTGCTCCGGTTGTGAAGGTTCCGTTGTCGTCCGCGCACGAAAACCGCAATTCCCTCCGAGGATTGCATCTCTGGAATGACTGAAGCAGTGCTCAGACTCGCTTAAACCTGGACGGATTTGGAATCTACGGCGGAGCATCTTCTTCAAACATTCTCGCAGGCTACGTATAAGTTAAAATATTTGGACTCCGCACGGATGCGCAATATTTTATGTCGAAATATGCCGACTGGGACGTCTCGGAGCGCACCAGAGAGGCAAGTGAGGGAAAGTATGATAGGCTCGAGAGCAGGCGGGGGCGACATAGGTTGCCATTCAGCACGTTGCTCTTGCCGTCTAGGCCCGACAATAGGCAGGGGCCAACATAGGGGGTAATTCAGCACCTTGCCCCGACGATGCAAGAGCGAGCTCCCGGACTGTGACGGAGTTCGGAAGACGAGATGCATGCGATCGGGAAAGGTGACCTCGGACGGAATCCTGGAAAGTGTGGGTGATCTTCAATGTCCGGTCTACAGAGCATTAAGTACAGGGCCATCGATTGCCTCACCCTCTGTCTTCCCTGATCTCTCCACCGTCGCGAAGACACTCAATACATCCGGTCCAGAGGATGAGGTGGGCCAAATTGCTCTGCCATTAACACCGCATTGGGACAGAGCAGTTGCAGAAATGCTCGAGATCCGTTTCTGAAATTCGAGAAAGAACGAGCCCGAATATGGAGTGCAGAGAGAAGGAGAAAATTTTGCCTGCAGACTCGGACCTTTCTCGACCCTTCAGGCCCACTGGAGTGGAGGTCGAACCATGTCGAAAAATGTCATGAGGAGTGGGGCAGACTGATGGCAGAATGCAAGTGCGCCACGATTCGTGGCACTTAGAAGTGCAGCACTATGTGGCTTCTTGAGAGTAAAAGTAAGCCCGTGAGCTCATGTCGTCCTGCAGGCCGGAAAGGAGATTGTAAAAAGTGTTCGGCTTTACAGAATACATCTTTTCTTCCTGGCAGGATCTGCTGTATGCTGAAAGCTTGCTGCAAGTGCGAGATGTCTACGTCAAAGACGTAATTGCCGTGCTAAGAGGTGTGTACCACGTACTCCCCCAGCTGCATTCGACTCTGGGCCATTATCACATAGGGAGAACTGCACTGCTCGTGTCACAGACTTTGCAATCACTCGAACAAAAACTTGACACTTGACGGGCTTCCTCTGTCGGTCGCTCGAGGGAGAAAAGTGCCGCTCCATCCATCGCCGAATGTCTTATCCTGATCACTCGCCCCAGCGACCCGATAGACTGCACTCCGGTTCATGCTCTCGAGAAAGTATTAAATCTCGTAACGGCTTTTGTCACCTTCGCTATAAGCAGTGTAAAAGCCTACTGCCCTGTCTATTACAAATTCGCTTGTTTTGGCCCATTCCGGCAAAGTTATTCCCAATCTCTTGTTTGCACTCTGAGCAGCCTGATGGCTTCACTGGACCCGGCGATGATCAACTACTTCATTACAGTTCTCGTTGGCGTAGAAAAGCCCTCGAGTCGTCTACCGTCCAACACCGAATGATCGTATGTACAAGGGGGTCCGAGGGAAATGCAGCGAGAAATTTAGTGCTCTGTCAGACCATGACACGCACGCAAGTTGGACATTCATCAACATTAACTCTTCTGGCGAATCAAGCAGGAATTTGTTGCGGCGATTTTGAATATCAAAAGAGTCAAATCTTGGAATGCGATCATAAATGTTTGAGTTGTGTAAGCGAGATATCTCTAGTCAATTCAGTTAGAGTCGTATGTACGATGGGAAATGAGAAGAAAGTTTTTGCCAGACGAAACTTCGTCTCTCAGAACACAAGTGTACATGCCCACCGTTCTGAAATCACTTTTGACTTTTCCTGAGAGAAGGGAGCCACTGGCAAGCCAGGGCATCGTTCCTTAACGCCCAACGAATGAGATTCTTGCTATACTGTATCGCTTGAAGCTAGCTTTTGCATTCAAGTTTGCTGACCGAAGACAAGAACCATTCCTGAAATTCTTCTGATCCTCTGGCTGATTGCAAAAGTCACTGCCTCGCTGGTGACATGTCGTTCTTAATCTACTATAAGCTGGTAGTTCACCGTCACATTTCTTGTTATCCAACCAAATGAGAGCAAATGTGAGAAATGTAAAATCAAATTTGAGTATGGAGTCTAAACTACATTATACCAGGTGCTTGATCAAGTAGGAATTAGCTATATTATTATGGTGAACGCGAGTAAAATCTGAGAATATCTGCAAGACGATACACACGAGTCAACAACTTGATTATGGCCTCGATAAGATATTGAAGGCTCTTTGAATATATTCATTCAATTGCTTAGAAATAGACCAACTTCATGAATTACTGTAACATTATTGATAGCAAATAAAGTACAAGTTTGATGAACTTTAGACACGCGCTAATTTATCCCTATACATTTGAAGATCACACATAGACTTCCATGTTGGAATTCCTGAATGCTTGATGGAAATTCCAACACACGTTAAGACGGTCAGAACTCTTCTGTCCAAAGGGGGGAATGGTTTAGGACTGAGGAAAGACATGTAATTGATTAATTTTTATTGATTATTAATGTAATTGGTTTATTGTAATTGATTGATTTGACATGTAATCGATTATTTATAAACTTTTTGAATGATTTTAATTTAATTTAATTTAATTTATTTACCCTAAATATAAATTCATATTCATATTTACATTTGTATTTATATATTTTACACTCTAGTTGAAAGTTAATACTTGATCACAATAGAAATATTTTGATTTTATTCAATAAATGTTTGAAATACAAAGGGTATTTCAAAAATGCTGAAAAATCTTTCACCCGGTATGTATTATATGTTTTTTTTATGTTTTGAGATTGAAAAATACCAACATTCCTTCTTTCCTCCCATTATATGATTATGACATGAAGATCTTAAAATTTTCATTTTGCTTATTTTACATTTAGTATAATCTGGTAATTTTTTTCAAAAATATTAAATAGATGATCATGTTTATTTATTTACCCTGCTTTCCCAAACATTTTGTTGAGATTTAGTTAGGTGAAATATAGACAAAAATTATTTCAAACATATTCATAACTATCATATAATCTTAACATTAGTATGGATGTCAAACAAGCGTAAGGCATCATTTTGATCACAAAATGTTCGATAGAAGTCACATTTTCTCTTTATTTTACATAATCTAAGATTTGTATCACAAAACAAGTAAAGTAATAAAATGAGAGCAATAATGCATGGAGATAAAATAAGTTAAAAAAATTGATGGAAAAATTCAAAGTTCATGGAAGGTGGAATCCACGAGAAAATTACTTGGTGGTATCCTTGCCAAACACTCAATGCTTCTTGGAATCCAACACGTATCATTTCACCCACAGTGATGAGACTCCACACATAACACACCATCACTCATGTTTTGATAACTACCCACATTTTTTGCCCACAAGTGTTAGAACATGCATGCTTTCTATAACACTAGGATTTAGAAAGAACTTCACTTGAAGATGGAAATATAAACTCTAAAGATGAGAGATATCAACACTGGTTCCCTTTTCCCTTATAAAGCTCTCAGCAACAAATACAAGGAGACAAAATCTTATCTCCACCATCCATCCCACTCCAGGTTGATGAATAACCCTTACAAGCACACAGATTGCTGACATTGCGCTCCCAACGAACACACTAACTAACACACTCAATGTTTATCTAATAGGTACACGGATCGCTGACGTGGAAACTATGACTAGTGCATGCTAAAGTATTTATATCAACATTAGGAGTAACCTCTACTTTAGTTTTAACTAACTATATATGATTACAAAACTCCATACTTTTAAGATTACTTTTACGTTCAAACTCCTGAACTATCCAAGGTGCCTTTGTTAAATTTTTAGTTGGTTTTCAAGTTGATTCCTATAATAGATAGACTTTTCATTGAAATAAATACTTTACTTTGAGATATTTATGACCTCGAATACGTTTCTTGAGTATTTTTTGTACCTCAAACTCCTCATGATCTGCTATCAAGATTGGAAGAGGAGGTGATGCTAGTTGGTTGGTGAAATTTTTTTGGTCGTGATACATGTTCTCGCAATCTTGACACATCAAATACCTGATGTATTTTCATATATGACGGAAGTTCCAACTTGTATGACACTTCACCAACACGCTTCAAAACCCAAAATGTACCAATGAACCTAGGGTTCAACTTTGGTGTTCCTTTAAGAAACAAATTTGTTGTAGATAACCAAACATGATCTCCTATCTCAAAAACTAATTCTCTACGATGAGCATATGCGTGCTATTTTTGCCGATTTTGAGCTCTCACCAACTTCTCCTTGGCCTGATGTAGTCCTCGGTGAATATGCTCCACAAACTCGTTAACTGCTACAACTTTGGTTGAAAACTACTCTTGTTTCGGAAGTCGCATCAAACTTGAAGGAGTTACAATATAAGCTTCATACATGAAATAAAATGAAAACACTTTTGTGAATGCATTAACAGAATTTTTATTTACAAATTTCACAAGTGACAAAATATTGTCCCACTCTTCTAGCTCTTCTAATAAGAATGCTCGTTGCATATCCTCTATGGTTCTATTTGCCGTCTCCATTTGTGCATAAGTTAGAGTATAATAGATCGTTGACATTGCTAATTTTGTTTAGAAAAAATTGAACAAAGTTCTTCAAAATAAACTAGTGAAGTGAGGACATCGATTCGTGATTAACACTTTGCTTAAGTCATGATTCACAAAAACTGTATCTAGATTCAAATTGAAACTTCTCCGCCTTTCTAGTTTGTAGTACTCTGCTCGTCTCTTCATCCTCCTATGTGGCTTGTGTCATCTTGCTTCACCAATCAGCATGAATTTTCACTTCTGCAACATGATTCAAACAAGGCATGCGTGTGAGAGCATCCGCAAGTTGCTTCTTACCCTCCACGTACACGTCACTTTGCCTATCAAATTTGTCATTTAGAAAGATCCTCTTGAGTTTCGAGATAAACCAAGGATTTATGGAGCTAACTTGATGGGATGGTTAGGATCATACCATTTAAGTATATGTGTGTGTAACAAAACATCTTTCAATGCTTGAAAAACTAACTCTTGAGTTGTTACTTATCTTCATTTTTTACCTTTCTCTAACATGAAAGCCAAGGTCTGAGCTAGACGAGCAAAACCTTTCACAAATCTTTGATAAAATCCAATGAGCACTAGAAAACTCTTCAACTATGTTTGATATTCAAGTGTTGTCCATTCTTGAATGACATGTATTTTATCACTCATCACTTGGATTCCTGCGGCTGTAACTCTATGACCCAAGTAATTTACTTCTAATTTTCCAAATTCACATTTTGAAGCTTTGGCATACAATTGATTGTCTCTCAAAACTTGAAGTACTTCTCGTAAATGCCCTCTATGATCACTCAAAGTTTTGCTGTACACCAATATATTATTTAGAAAAATAATGACAGATTTATCTAGATAAGGGCAAAAGATATCGTTCATCAATCCCATGAATGTAACTAGTGCATTAGTGAAACTAAAATGCATCACTAGATACTCAAAGTGGCCATACTTAGTACAAAAAGTTGTATTATAGACATCTGCATCTGCAATTCAAATTTGATTGTGCCGCTTCTCAAATCTAGTTTGATGAAGTACTTTGCTCCTTGAAGTTGATCAAACAAATCATCCATACAAGATAATGAATATTTGTTTTTCACCGTTTTCTTATTCAACCCTCGGTAGTCGATGCATACTCTCATGGATCCATCCTTTTTCTTCACAAAGAGCAATTGAGCTCCATAAGGTGAAACACTTTGTTGAATGAATCCCTTGCTCAACATCTATTCCATCTGAGTTTCGCATTCTTCCAATTTGTTTGGAGCCAAACGATATGGAGTTTTGCAAGTTGGTGTATTTCTAACTATCATCTCAATTTTGTGATCTAGTCACCTCTTTGGTGGTAATCTTGCAGTTAGATCATCTGGAAAAACATCTTGATACTCCATAAAAATGTTGTTCAAGGACTCCGGGAAGAGGGTTAATCCCTTCTTTGTGATGATCTAATCTTATCTCTATGGATTTTCTAACCACTACTTGTAATCACTTTTCTTCTCCGATCTAACTCCGGATTATAATGTTCCATCCATGGCATTCCAAGGATGACATCATACCGATCTAAATGAATTACTTTCAATTCAATGCCCTCCTTGTAATGGATAAATTGACACTCTGTGATAGTTTCCTTATCAATTCCGTTTGCCTGTTTGGCAATTCGACTTACTCACTCATATCCTTTATCAACATCAAACCTTATTTCATAGCAACATCCTTGAGAGAAAATTCTATGTTGCTCCAGTATCAATTAGAACTTTCACATTGTGCTTTTCCATCAAACCATTAGTGACAATAAATTGAATTTGTTTCTTGATTCTTCCATGAGCTCCCAACCATTGCATTCTTTCAACCTCGCATTTTCTTCACTTTATAGAACCAGTAAGACTGCGAGTTAAGTTTACTGGTGACCTTCGTTTCCCGAAACTTTTTCCTCAAACTTTTTACTTTTTACTTTTACTCTATTCCATCAATGTTGTTGAACGGTTGTCGCTATATGGGCCGTACTCCTTGTGATGCCGGTCGAATTTGGAAAAAATTATCAATGTGATACATTCGTCCACATGCATAG